TAATGGTATCTCTAACCTCACATAAAATATCATCATCCATCTAGACACAATACTCCCTCATCTAACCTTTATCAGGTTTTTTTTTCTTCTCTTTTACTTTACTTTATTTATCTAGTTTATTTTAATTTGTATATTAAAAAAATGAAAGACAAAAAAAATGGATTTTTAATTACTTATCTTTTAGTTAAGTGTTAAATATTTAAAAATACAAAAATATATGTTGTAATTATTAATTAATTTAAATATTTGTATTTAATTTGATTAATTAAATTATTAGTTAATCTTTTTAAATATTTATATTTAAATTGATTATTTCTGTTTGTTGTCTGATTTATTTCCATGTTCTGGGCATGTTCTGTTTGAGTCACACGATGTTTTGCCGTGTATTTTCTCTCTGTTTCTCGCGATGCTTTGCCGCGTATTTTTGTCTATTGATTACATGATGTTTTTTCGTGTATTTTTGTTGAATTTTCATTGTCTGATTACCGTGATTTTTTTCCATGCGTATTATGCGTTATCTTATATGTCTCACCATACATGATGTTTTTCCGTGTATTTGTTGTTTTTCTTTTGATCCTTGTAACATAATCTGAGGGAAGGGATTATGTGTTGAGTTATCGTCATTGTGCACGTCCCTCATCTATTCTTTACCTGTCTTAGTTGTTCTTGGTTCTTAGAACCTAGCAACTCGTAGTTCTACGAACTACAGACACTCTGGTTTCTCAAGTCCCTCTTGAGGATGCGTAGGCACAAGATGTGATGTCTTGGCAAGTTCACTAACAACTAACTTCCTGTCAACATTTGCAACTTAAGATTGGAGTCGTCGTGCTCTATTTAGTCGTCCCGCCGTGGACATTGCATTCCTTGTTAACTTAACTTAGTTTAGAGTCGCCGCACTCTATGTAGGTGTCTCACCGCAGACATCTACTCTTTTCCCTTTGGAACCTTGACCACAATCAAGAGTTCCTCACCCCTAGTTAGGGGAACTACGGTTGCTCTGATCCCATTCCCGTCAGGATACGTAGGCACGAGATGCGATGTCTTAGCAAGCAAAATTTGTACATACTTTGTATATACTTTAGATCTTTACATTAGAATTTTTCCTTTAGCAAGAAACTTTAGCATAACACAAATACTAACAAGAGGTTCTTGTAGAGTATTACAGATGTTTAGGATGCGAAATACCTACCCTAGGCATAACCAACCCCCGAACCTTAGATCTCTTAGCGTTGTTGTTACATCGCGCAAAAGGTTTTTCTTTCTTTAAACCTTTCCTTTGGATAAATTAAAGTCTGGTTGTGAGTTTAATGAATTAAGATTCAAGTTAATTAATAGCTTGGTATCACGATTCTCACCGCAACAGTTTTTTGTCAGGAGGTTCTATGTTTTAGACTTAGAGATATTCCTCAATAGTTAGAAGACTCAATTTGAAAAAAGCGTTGTTCAGGGGCGTTTTTGACGAGAGTTCATTTGAATTCAAATAAAAGAGGGAAAGTATGTTTTGAGAAAGACACGTGGAGCATCCCGGTGGTTCGAAGGCATGCGTAGTGACACTTTCTTGATCTTACTTGTTAGTCGTTAATAACGGTTATGTTCGATGGTTATAAGTAGCAGGTCTTAGTATTAAGACGGGTGTGTTCAATTGTGTACAAAATCTCTATTTACTCTAAGTATCCGTGTGAGTGAGAGAAATGAGTCATGAGAATGTACGTTGGCTAAACACCGGTTTTTATTTCAATGCAGTTTAACACTTCTTTTACTTAAAAGTTTGTTTTTCTTTATGCAAGTTATTATCCTTGTCATTTATCAACACTTTACTTCCTTTTACCGTTATTTAAATTCATTTATACTTGAAATAAGTTGTCTTACCATAGAACTCGTCGAAGTGTTTATAATTTTCATTCACTTCATTTAAAAGACCAATTAGCACATGTCCTAGAATTTGTATGGTCGATCCTGCAAGCAACACAGATCTCTTTCGATTTGTTATACCAGCAGTTGTTCGCCAATTTTCACGGTGAACAGCCTCTCTCTCTCTCTCTCTCTCTCTCTCTCTCTCTCTCTCTCTCTCTCTCTCTCTCTCTCTCTCTCTCTCTCTCTCTCTCTCTCTCTCTCTCTCCACCTCTTATTCATTCTTTCTTTCATTTATTTTGATGCTTATTCTTTGTTTGCTTTATAAAAAAAACTTAAATGCTTTTATAAACTAAATTTTAATAATTTGACATCGATTTTTAACCAACATAACTCACCCCCCCTCCCTTTGTGTTTCATTACTAGAAACTTCACGTTTAGCAGCTAAATTAGAGACTGAAAAAAGTTAAAAATCAGTCACTATAATGTTTTGCAACTAACACTTTTCGGTTGCAAAAGGTGATAATCAATAACTTTTAGCGACGTCCTCAGTGACCGAATTTTAGTGATAAAAATGTTACTAAAATAACAACCGAATTTGTAATTGTTTTTTGTTGATTAAAGGTGCATTAAATAAAATTAAAATTCTAGATGTGTATAGAATCGAAATATCATTCATACCCACTGGGACACTTTATACATCATTTTACTAATATAATTTCACTAAAATTTATATATATTATTATGTTTACCTATAAAATTAAAAAATTAATCCCAAACAAGAGTTGAACCCCTGACTTTTGTTTGTAGATGATGTAGTTGACGAGTGAAACATATTGCTTTACCTATAATTATGTTTACATGTTTACCCTTATTATTTATTTAAATATAAATTTAACTTATAACAATGTTAAAAGTTTTATTTTGATCAAATTTAATCTTTCTTTTTATATTTTTTGTATTTTTATATCTTCATCTTACTATCATTATATCTGTTTAAAAATATTTATTTTATTTTATATATTTTAATGTTAATTTTTAATTATCGTAATGTTTTTGTTTATAATAATAGAGGATTCAAAACTGTAATTTAGCTAATTATATATTATAATCGTTACGTTTTTATAAAATATTTTATGATGATCTCTGATTGAATTTTTATATTTCGTCAATAAATTTGTATTTAAATTATAAACGGTAAATATCACAAGTCTTATGGTAAAAGTAGAAGAATAAAAAAGTAAATTAGTTTTAAAATATCTTCTCATTCCCTTGTGAACCAAACATATTTGTAAATAAAATATTTCCCCTCCCCTTCCCTTTCATATGTTGAACCAAAGATATATGTAATTAAAATTTTCCCCCTTCCTTCCCCTCCCTTCCCCTCCTCTCCCCTTAATAAATATCCCTCTCCTTTCCTCCCTTCCCCTCCCTTTGATTGAACCAAACAAACCCTAAGTATACAAAGATTTAATGAGTTAAATAACCTTGATGAAACATGGACAATTTATACCAATAAATAGTCATCAAAGCTATTTCAAAGATTATAATTAAATGAAAAGGCAATGACATTAATTGACATCAAAAAATAAAAGAGCCATCACCTAAGAACTATGAAAAAGGAAAGAACAAAGAAGAAGATAACAAATAATTTACATAAACACTTTGACTAAACCAACACTTAAAGTTATAATATCACTAAGGTACGAAGATATACTTTAATTGGTACAACCTCAAATAGTTATAAGCATCTAGATTATTTTTAATTCATCCATTAGAAAGGCTTGAGTTTGATGGACTTAAGTAGGGAAGTCTTACATTCGTGAAACCTAAGGAGAAGTCTTGGGCCTGAGGGGTTTAAGCAGGAAGTCTCGGGCTGAGGATCTGAGCAAAGAAAAGTCTTATGCTTAAGTGCATAAAGCGATTGTAATCATGTTTTGATTATAGTGAAAATCTCTTGTGCTGCAAGGGGACCGGACTACTCTCATTTGGGAGGAACCAATATAAGTCTCTGTGTGTTCTGTTATTATTTATTTGCTTTTGTTAACATCCGATGCAACGAATAATCTGAATTTGAACACCATTTTAGTTTCTGAATTCTGATCAGACACAAACTAAATAAATGGAAAACACAATTCAATCTCTCATTCTTGTGTATTTTTCTCACCTTCAATTGGTATTAGAGTTTGGTCTGTGCATAACACTTAACAGTGGTGCAGATAACGATCCAATGAGAAAAATATGTATGTTAAAGACTTTCCGTTAAAAAGGAGTCAAGTGCCACATAAAAAATATTACATTGTTTTTCCTACCATATTCAAAGGGTGATTCTGCTGAATTTGAATGATGGAAGGGTAAAATATATTTTTAATTTATTGATCTTGATAAAGGGTTTTGACGAAGGTCTATAGAATACCCTTGAGAAAGGTATTATTATAGAAGTTGATAGTGTAAGGATGATCAAAGTTTGAAAGTCTTTCACACTAACTTAGAAGAAGCTTATTGAAAATATCTTTAGAGTTAAATGCATTCTGGTAGGTGCTATATCTCAACTCTAAATATATCAACATCATTGATACATCTAATACTCAGACTATCTTTAAATTCTTGTGTTCAAATTTGTAGGAGTTAGTAAAAGAAGCTTTCTAATAAAATACCTTTCTAATTTTAATCATATAATTCATATTAGTTTTTTAGTGTGCATCAGTTAAGGGAAAAAATGATTTTCTTTAGTTCTACAATAGTAATCATCGTGCTTAACATTTAAGCAAGAGCAAAAATTAAGATTTTACCATAATCGTTTTGTTTTGATGGGTATTGTTTTCAGTTTATTACCCAAGATGGCCGTGGAGTTAACGATAAAAACAGAAGATAGTTAAAAGGAACAGAAAAAATAAATAAAAAATCCCAAATCCCAATCGGATTTTTCCTCTGTTTCTTTTTTTTCTCTTCGAATCAATTTTCCTCAAAATTCTTGCTAACCCTAACACACTCCTTCGAATTCTCATAAAATTTCTTCAATCAAGAAAACACAATCCCAATTTGAATCGATTCGTATCAATTCTCAGAAACAAAAACCGCTAAATTCCGGTTCTATAAAACCCTACTTTTTAAGCCCGCCGGCGACACCGCACCGTATAGTTTTCTTCATGCGAGATCCGCCTTCTCTTCCGCCGTCTTCCGGCGACGACGGTGATCCTTACGGCTCTTGGTATGGCAACATAGACTACCTTCTCAATATATCGGCGATCGGCGCTTTGTTCTGTCTCTTGATTTTCCTCTTGGTGAAGCTACGGAGCGACCACCGCCGTATGCCCGGCCCCGCCGCCGTTGGTAGCAAGCTTCTTGCCGTATGGCACGCCACTGGACGTGAAATCGCCCGCCACTGCGGCGCCGATGCTGCTCAGTTTCTTCTCATAGAAGGTGGAAGCTGCGCCGTTCTCTTGTCCGTTGCGTTTCTCGCTCTGGTTGTTTTGCTTCCGGTTAATCTCCATGTCGGAACCTCGGTGTTGGAGGATCAATTCTCCAAGACAACTATTAACCATATTCCTAAAGGTTCGCCTCTGCTTTGGATTCATTTCATTTTCGCTGTTGTTGTAGTTTTATTGGTTCATTTTGGCATTTCTGCGACGGAAGAGCGTTTGAGAATCACTAGGTTTAGGGATGGTTATGGTAATTTGAGTGATCCCACTGTGAATTCTAGTGCTGTATTCACTATAATGGTTCAGGGGTTACCTAAAATTATAGGAGCTGATAGGGCTGCGTTGCAGGAGTATTTTCAATATAGGTATCCCGGTAAGGTTTACAAGGTTATTGTGCCAATGGATTTGTGTGCATTGGATGGTTTGGCTACCGAGTTGCTGTGTGTGAGGGATGAGATTTCATGGTTGGTGGCTAGGATTGATTCTCGCTTATTGCCGGATGATTGCGAAGAGGATGGTGGTGTTGATGGGAGTGCGCCTCTGGGTTTGTGGAGTTGGGTGGTTTCTTGTCGGAAGCTATTGAAAGGTTTTTTTGCTGACATTATGGCTAGATTTGGTTACACTGATGAACAGAGGTTGAGGAAATTGCAGGAACTGAGGGCTGAACTGGAGACTGAGTTGGTTGCTTACAAAGAAGGGCGTGCGCCGGGTGCTGGCGTTGCCTTTGTTATGTTCAAGGATGTGTACACTGCTAATAAGGCTGTTCAGGATTTTCAGAACGAAAAGAAGAGGCGGGTTGGGAAGTTTTTTTCTCTCATGGAGTTGCGTTTGAGGAGAAACCAGTGGAAAGTTGAGCGTGCACCTTTGGCGAGTGATATTTACTGGAAAAATTTGGGGACACCAAAGCTTTCGCTGAAATTGCGGAGAGTGTTCGTGAATACTTGTTTGTTGTTGATGCTCTTGTTCTTTAGTTCTCCACTTGCTTTGATCAGTGCTGTTCAAAGTGCTGGAAGGATCTTCAATGCCGAAGCTATGGATAGTGCACAGATGTGGCTGGCTTGGGTACAAAGCTCTAGCTGGCTTGGAAGCCTTATTTTTCAATTTCTACCTAATGTTATCATCTTTATCAGCATGTATATAATAATTCCATCTGCTCTATCTTATCTGTCAAAATTTGAATGTCATCTGACGGTATCTGGTGAACAAAGAGCTGCACTCATGAAATTGGTTTGCTTCTTCCTTGTAAATCTCATTCTGTTGCGGGGTCTGGTCGAATCATCATTAGAGAGTGCCATCCTGAAAATGGGACGGTGCTATTTGGATGGAGAGGATTGCAAGAGGATTGAGCAATATATGAGTGCATCATTCCTGTCAAAGTCATGCCTTTCGTCTCTTGCATTTCTGATCACAAGCACTTTCTTGGGGATATCTTATGATCTCCTGGCACCCATTCCTTGGATCAAAAGAAACATTCAGAAGTTTCGGAAGAATGACATGCTTCAGTTAGTTCCAGAACAAAGTGAAGAATACCCGTTAGAACATCAAGACGGAGATAGTCTTCAGAGACCACTGATTCACGGCAGTGCATATGCTTATGAAACTTCCAATGGGGATAGTGAAGAGGGACAAGATCTTTCTGTCTATCCAATCACTGGAAGCTCACCTAATCCAAAACAAACATTTGATTTTGCACAGTACTATGCCTTTAATTTGACAATATTTGCCCTGACTCTGGTATACTGTTCATTTAGTCCACTTGTTGTTCCTGTTGGTGCTGTTTATTTTGGGTATAGATATGTAGTGGACAAGTATAATTTTCTGTTTGTCTATCGAGTTCGGGGATTTCCTGCTGGCAACGATGGGAGGTTAATGGATAGTGTAATATGCATCATGCGTTTTTGCGTGGATCTATTCTTACTCGCCATGCTCCTATTCTTCTCAGTGCAAGGGGACTCTATGAAGCTTCAAGCAATTTTCACTCTTGGACTATTAGTCTTGTATAAATTACTTCCTTCCCATAGTGATAGTTTACAATCAACACTTTTGGAGGGCATTCAAGCGGTTGATAACGTTGTAAATAGTCCCATTGATTATGAGGTATTTTCGCAGCCCCGGTTTGATTGGGACACCTCCCAAAGGTGATTCAAGCTTTGGTATTATTCTTGCTGTCAAATAGAGTTGTAGCTGATCCCATACAGAAGCATGTGACTCAGAAAAGTAGTGATGGGGGGATGGGGTTGAGGGATCACTCAAGAGCCAAGAAATAGGGTTCTTTTAACTGATATCCATAATCTGCTATACACACTTCATTTATACCCATCTGTTCCACTTGTCACCCAATTCCAAAGATTGGCCACAATGCTAATGAAAATACCATGTGATATTTCTTGAAGTTCCCAGCTTTGTGCAAATTTGGGGCGATTGTACTGTTTCCACTGTTTATATATATGCTCATCACTATGGAGAAATTCTGGGGGAAAATGGACTTAGAAATAACAGTGAGAGCATGTTCCTTCTACTTCAGACAAGCTTCAGAGCACAAGCTGGATCATTCCCAGTCTGATGTGAATGCCAATCTATTTTTTTATCATGAAAAAGCTTAGCTTTCTAATTAGAGAACCATGATTATTAGACCGTATAGATTTGGGAAAAATGTATACAAATATTTATTGTTAGTCAGATAACACGTTTATCAACATGTTTCATTTTTATGTGTGTTATAACTTGCTTAACTTATATAAGAAAATTTTGACTTAAATTATTGAATAAATTATGTATTTAGACAATATATAGACTAAATATCTTAATCATCGGCTTAATTGCAACTTTGGTTTTTCTGTTGTGTTTTTTTGAGTTTTGATTCTCCCATTTTAAAAACCACGATTTTGGTCCCTTTTTTAGGTTTCAAGAACAATATTAGTTCTCTTGTCATTTTGAGTCATGGTTTTAATGAGGTGGCACGTTGAATGCTGATGTGGCATTTCCATGTCATTAACTTAAATATTATTTCATTTTTTCAAATTTAATAAAATAAAACTTAAATAAAAAACTTCATTAACTTAAATATTATTTCATTTTCATCTTCAACCCATTGTAACCATTTCATCTTCCTATGTCTTCACGAACGAATGTAACCCAAACCCAGTTCTTCTTCCCATTGTAACCCATTTTTCTCAACAAACCCATATCAGCCCTCCTATTTGTCAACATGTCCGAAACAAATTTATCTCTTTCCTCAACAAACCAGTCTGGGTCTGGTATAAGAAGAAGAGGTAATAGATGTTGGTGTAAGCTTGAGTCACCGTTGATGACGTCATGGACATACGTTGGTATAAGAAGAAGAGGTAATAGATGTTGGTGTAAGCTTGAGTCACCGTTGATGACGTCATGGACATACGATAATCCTGGAAGAAGATTTCATGGGTGTGGTAATTATCTATATAACAAATTTGCTGCAGAAAGATAGTTAGAAACAAATTTCCTGCATAAGCAGATTAATTGATTCTATGGAAAGTGATTTTACTTACACGGCTAGAATACTTTTCAAGAACGTAAACAAAACTTCGAGTTGTTTCAAGTTGGTAAGCCCTTGTACGATTACAACTGGTATAAGGAACAAGATTGTGAAAAGAATACATACAACTATAACCACCAACTTAGAAATCCATTGTTTCATGAAAGATTCCGAAAAGAAAAGGCCAGTAAACATCATGAGGTTGCGGAGCAGGCTCGGTAATCCACTGGGTTAGATTGATTGATGGTTGAAAATGGAAAGCAGTTGCAGCAGCGTAACGCGACTTGAAGAACACAAACGTAGCTCGAGTCTCCTTCAACACCGAACAACAATTCACATTAACAAAACGAAATGCATTTATAGAATCTGTTCTTTTTGGTATCTATTTCTGGTATGCAGGAATTAGTTTGGAGTATGATAAAGTCAGTTGATGTAATTAGTTAGTTTGATAGGTTAGTGTAATTGAATTTTGAAATGGTTAGCATGAAAACTGTTATGAACTGCAGTTGTAGTTAGAATTGAAACTAAGTTACCTGTAATGTATTGATTCAGTTAATTTGTTTTGAAAAGGTCAGTTGATGTAATTAGTTAGTTTCATAGGTTAGTGTAATTGAATTATCAAATTAGCTTAGAATTTATGTGTCATTTGGCATATTGGCATTGTACATGTTCAAAATCGGGCTAATATCTTTTTCATTTTTTTCCTGCTATAGCTGCTTTGAAGTACTAGTCACATTTAGAGAAGAATTTGACACAGTAGTAAAGAACACTTCATAACATATCTGTTATCAAAAATTAACAGTGAATGTATACACTTCATAACAGCAGAAGTTCTATTTTGGCTCTTGCAACAGAAGTTCAATTAACAGTGAATGTATACACTTCATAACAAGACCGATGTATCATTACATTGACGGCAGCATTAAAGACAACATATTTTAACAAAAATACATTGAGTTGTTTGGTCATAACATATGCTAAAGCAGCATCACAAAAAGTAAAGCAAAACATAGAGCTATTCTTGGGTTGGTGGCGGTGCTTGCGACCCTCCGTCTACAACAGTTTCTCCCGCTTCCTTGCCCGACTTGTCACCATTTTTTTTAGATTTTTTGTTGTTATCTTTAGGAATCGCTTTCTCCGCAGCTCGCTTCCCTTTACACGTTCGTTTGTTATGGCCAAAACTCCCACATTTCTTGCACTTGACAGTTTGAAGAGTTCTAGGCAGTGTATTTCTTATCCTCGGCTCATCATTCGCCTTGTTACGATTCTTCTTAGGAAGACCGATAGATCTTTGCATGACTGGAGGGCTGATTGGGTTAGCAACATTAATAGGCCATAGTTGTGGGCCATTGGTTGGCATGATGATATGGCTATAAGTATCCAGAACAGTAGATTTCCTAGACAATATGACACAATGATTTTAGTTAACGTACAAAAAAGATGAATGTAAATGAACATAATATACGAGTAGGTGATACCTATAGAATGATGAAACGTAATCTTCGGGCTCCTTCTTGTTATACCATATGCATGCAATAGCATGATAACATGGTATTCCACTTAAATCCCACTTCCTACAACCACATTTCTGTTGAAGCAAGTTCACAGCATATGTCTCAACACCGTTTGAAACTCCGAATATAGCAAAGTCATCATCTGCATGCCATGTTGCAATCCATTCTTCTGCTACCCTCTTTGTTTTTTCCAAGACTTTTTGAATGCTAGGACTTGTAACACCTGTGTACCTACTTAATTTCTCCTTTTGAGCAGATATTCTCACTATTATGTAATGTTTGATTCCATCAAGTAGTGAAATGATCAACTTATCTCTATACTCCAAGATTGCACGATTAAAAGCCTCACACATATTGTTGACTTGCAAATCACATTGTGTGTCTATTTTGAAATGAGACCGAGTCCAACATGCAGCTGGGACATCCATCATGTCTTTCCAAGCATTGACATTGAGCTCTTTCATATGATTCATTGCTCTTCCCCATGCAGGAATTGTTGTGGCTCTAGCTGCCCGCCATAAAGCCTCCTTCATAAATATCCCCGGATATTTCTTTCTCCATTCTAGCAGCATATGACATCTATCCAAGTTCCATTCTAACAGCATAACAGATTGATTTTTTATCCTTTAAATTCTAGCATTTCCATATAGCATTCTTAAATTCAGCAGCATTGTATTCTAATAGCATGATTCTTAAATTCAACAGCATTCTTAAAATACATGATTCTTAAAAATCTAATAGCATTCTTAAATTCAGCAGCAGTATCCTTTAAATTTTGGAACAATATCCTAATAGCATTTTCATATAAGTACCTAATAATATTCTTAAATTTTGGAATAGACTTATGTTATATTTGCAATAAGTACCTAATATCCTAATAGCATTTCCATATAAGTACCTAATAGCATTTCCATATAAGTACCTAATAACATTCTTAAATTTTGGAACAGACTTATGTTATATTTGCAATAAGTACCTAATATCCTAATAGCATTTCCATATAAATACCTAATAGCATTTCCATATAAGTACCTAACAGCATTGTATTTAATTAGCAGTTATAATTAGCATTGTATATAGCAGTACTGTAAAATTAGCAGTACTTATAATTAGCAATTATAAGTACCTTCTGTTGATATGATATAAATCCATATTTGTTGTCTTGTATAGATTGCAAGTCTTCTAATAACAAATTAAGGAACCATTTCCATGAGTCTTTCGTTTCAGCTTCCACTACGGCATAAGCGATTGGATAAATCTTGTTATTTCCATCCTTACCAACAACACCTATTAACTGACCTCCAAAGTCCCCTTTAAGAAAACAAGCATCCAGTCCTATTAGAGGCCTACACGTCGTTGCAAACGTTGCCTTACAAGCTTCTAAGCATACATATATTCTTTCAAAGACTGGACCACCATCTGAATCAGCACACTTAATTTTAACAGTGGAGTTTGGATTTGACTTTAACAACTCCTCACCATAGCTTCTAAGATGTGTGAATTTTTCACGACTAGCACCTTGAATCAATTCCATTGCCTTTTTCTTGGCTCTATAAGCTTGATCCTTTGACAACTTCACCCCCTACTTCTTCATAGCTTCTGCAATCAGCCCTTTGGTTTTTATTTCAGGAGTGTGTCTTATGGTGTACACAAATTGGCGACCCAACCAATCCGTTTTTTCTTGTCTATTTTTGGATGTCCTATGACAGCCATGACGATCAGTCAAGCTAACAAGTTGCCAAGGTAGTCCTCATGCTAAACCTAATATGAAATGGACAACCATCTACACACTTGACAACCATTCTCTTCTTGTCATTTTTCTTAAATACAAGATTCTTCTTGTTCTCCATAGCATACTCCTTTATGGCATCTTTGATTTGTTGTTTATCCTTGAACATCATCCTTACTTCAAGTTTTGTGGGTTCCCTAAAGATTGGAAACTTTGTCGTATCACCTTCAGCATCACTATCGGGTGGAGTTTGAAGCACATCTGAATCACTACCATTATCGGAATTATCATCCAACTTTGAAGGTTTTTCTGCATTAGGTAAAACGGTCTTCCAATTTATACTAGCATCAACACCTAAATTCATCACATCAATTTCATCTTCCAAATCTTCATCCTCTTCCTCGTCATCCTCACTGCCCATGCTATAATATGGATCTGTTTCACTCTCGTCATCTACGTCATCAACATTAACGTTAACCTCTTCATCTACTCCATCAACACTAACCTCTTCATCGTTTGCTCCCTCAACATTAACTTCATCATTTGCTCCCTCAACATTAACTTCATCGTTTGCTCCCTCGACATTAACTTCATCGTTTGCTCCCTCGACATTAACTTCATCGTTTGCTCCCTCGACATTAACTTCATTGTTTGCTCCCTCCACATTAACTTCATCATTTGCTCCTTCACCATTATCCTCCTCAAAAATAACATCCTCAATACTTATTTCTTCAACTTTGTGTTCAACATAAAGATCAACTACCTTAAATCCTCTAACATCCTCCATTAACCTTAAGACATCATTATCATTGTTGAGAGGCCGAAGTCCACAGAAAAGGAAAAATTAGGATTCAAATACCATAAACACTTTATATTACGATACCCCTCAGTCTTGATCAAATCTTTAATTTTCATGTAGGACATCAAGTCCACATCCCAATCCCAATTCATTTCAGTTACAACCCCATCAACATACAACAAAACTGGATTCTGAATTAAATGTCCCCTATGGTGTACTCTAAATCTGACAACTTCGGTATCAGAGGGCCTACAAAACACAAACGACAATTTCTGAATTAAACCATAGATAAAATCGGGAGTTGGTATTAACAATTCATATGCTATGACAGAACACAAACGTCATTTGCATGTTTAGGGTTTTTTTATTCAGAGGTGAGTTATGAAACTTACCTCGACACGTAACTTCGGTTTGCCATTTGTCGCGGTGAAATTTGGATACCGAACTAGTGATTAGTTTGAATCTTATTCATTTGCAACCGAACTTTGATTTGTCCAAAGGAAGGGATAAAGATCAAAATACCCATAATGCAATGCAAATGCAAGCTAGAGAGTTATAGGTTTGGGGGTTGGTTAAACTTAGGGAAGGTGCTAGCATTCTAAGTTTTTGTAGTACTCTACAGGAACCTCTTGTTTTATGTTTGTTTATTGCTAAGGTTTATCTGTTTAATGGTTAAAAAGACCTAGGGGTTTATTTCTAAGTATACTCAATAAGATATCGCATCTTATGCCTACATATCCTTACGGGAGTGGAATCAGAGTATATGTAGTTCCCCTAAAGGGTTTGAGGAAGTATTTGACTATGGTCAAAGTTCCTACGGGTTTAGGGTAGTTGATTGATTGATTTTAGGAGAAAATATGAGTTGTCATTTTAAGGGAGATTACTTTGATTTAACCGCCACAACTTTGTAGGAAAATTGATTATGTTGTTATGGGGTCGAGATTCCATATTGCTTAAGATGATTAACATCTTTCTCTGATGTTTGAATAATTGTATTGAGTTGGTTGTGTTTTGTCTAAGTTGTAAAAAGGTAAAAGACAAAGGCCCTTCCTATAGGTAAGATCTATCCTAAAATATCGACTTGAATGGGATCAAGGATCAAAAGGGGAGAATGATGCAAATGAGATGCAATACACACAAGTGTTGAGTCATGTGTGGGTTCTTCCTTTGGACGGAATACAATAATGCGATGCAAAAGATAAATACGGTAAATAAATTGCGGAAGATAAAGACGATAAATAAACATACACAAACGCATGAAAGCGCTAGGGTGTAAGTGAGTGAATTGTGAATGTGAATGGATCGGAGCGAGGCGCAAGCGTGCACAATTGATTGTATTACGATGTTGATTGTTTTTAGGCGAGGTTGAGTTGATTGTAGTCGGATTGATTTTAAGCGAGATTTAATATAAATTAGATTCTAACAGACAAGGTTTTTAAATAAAATGATTTAATATACTAAATGATTTTAATTTTATTATCTTAAATGAAATGATTTATTTTTATATAAAAGTCATGGTTGTTCTTAAAAGTTAATTTATTGATTATGAAATTAAAAAAGGTTGTTTTTATTATTGTTTCTAAAATACTAAATTGGTTTTATTATTAATTAGATAAATTGCAATTAGATGTAAGTCATTTATAAGAAAGTTTTTTTTTTAGTGAATAAACATATTATTTAAATAAGTGTTATTAAGTTGATTTGAAAGAAAGATTAATTTAAATTAATTAGCAAAAATGAATTAATCTTATTAAAAGGAGTTTTTCTAGTTATTAGGATAAAAAAAACTATAAAGGTTGATTAAATTGAAATATTAAATAAAGTGAATCATTTAAGGTGAATTAACTATATAATTAAATTAAAAGATAAAAAACTGATTATGATTAATTAAAAAAGTTATTAGTTTATTCTAAAAAAGGATTAATAGTTATTATTAAATAAAAACTAAAGTTAATTAAAGATTAAAGGTTTTTAAAAAAAGGTTAAACCATATTATTAGTTTTTAAAAAAGATTAATTAAAATTAATTATGTTAATAACAAAAACGTTGGATCTAGTGTATTGCGGACGCATGGTTTATTGTGGGCACGCAGTGTGATCCGTTAGATCATGAAGTAAGTGAAATGTGTGGTGATAGAGGTGAGGGACCACGGTACTACCGTGGTCGTGCATACATACAGTTCATAGCAATACAAAAAAACAGAACAAATGAAACAGAAAAGCAAACGACGGTGGAAACCCCAATCCCCAAAGTCGTTCACTCGTTCGGCCACCCTTGTAACGCCCCGATTCTGAATTTCCCATTATTTTGTTGAGTCTTTTAATTTATTTGGTTAATTTTTATTTTATTGTGGAATTATATGACAATATGTATGTGTGTATGTTGTGGTATTTTATTATTTGGAGAGTTTTGGGAATTAATTAGAGGGTGTTTTAGATAATCCTTGATTAGTAGTTATTTTGAGAGAAATAGAGTGGAAAGAGTATAAGTGGAAAAAAGAAAGAATAGGGAGAATAGAAACCAAAAGGAAAGAAAAAGAAGAGAAAGAAAGGAAGAGAAGAGAAAAGAGAAGGAAGAGGAGAAAAGCCTAGAAGCATCAAGAATCAACTTTTAAGCTTTCGATTGATCGGGTAAGGGTGTGAAACTTTATTATTCTTACAATGTGTATGATTATGTGTGTTCTTGTTGGTTTTGTTTTGGATTGGGGAGAGTTTTACTCATTTTTCATTCTAGGGCATAATACGGATTTAATCGATAGAACTCGAGTTTTCGTTGGTGAAAGTGAGATTAAGTAGTAGCATTTATGTCGGGTGATGTTAGGCTAAACTGCTGAAATGAGTTGGGACTTAATCGGGTGAATCCAAGAGTTTTGGAGTGGAAGAGCAGTAGGGAAATTATGAGTTCGCAGACACTCGCTAGCAGGTTCGCTAGGCGAGATGGTCGCGAATGTTCGCTAAGCGAGCAGTAGCGAATGGGTAGCGAACGGTCCCAGACTTGGACAAAATGCATGTTGTGGTGTTTGCTGGTAGCGAATGGGGGTAGCGAAGGTTCGCTAGGGGTTCGCTAAGCGAGCGAGGTAGCAAACAAAGTCAGAGGCTTCTGTTTGCCTTCGCGAGCTTGTTCGCTAGGCGAACAAGTAGCGAATACTCGCTAGGAGCTTACTAAGCGAGAGGGTAGCGAACGTGACAGGTTGTGTTTTCTTTAATGTTTCCATCCGTGGTCGAATTTCCGACTTAACTTTGATTATTTCCTTGCTCGAGGCATCGATCATGCCGAGTTATATTATGATGTGGGTAGTCGTATGGCGTGAATCCTAGATTGTGTGATGTGGTCGTTTGGCAATTTCGTGCATTTGTTTGGATTAAATGGGAATGCGTGGTGATATTAATGTGAATGCGTATATTTGTATATACTTGTATAACATGAAGAATGCATGAATATGTTTGTAAACATGTGTGGATTCAAAGAGTGTATTGAGTCGTATTGCGTGTGTAGCATCATGATTGCATTCTTGTGTGTCTGATCCCGTGTAGGATCTGCAGAAACCTCGTGTGCCCTTGTGGGGTGTAAGCGATGGTTTAGTTACTTTGATCCCTAGGAGGATCTGCAGAAACGATCGTGTGCCCTTGTGGGGTGTGAGCGATAGTTTATTTTTGATTCCATGGAGAATCTGCAGAACAGTTATGTGCCCTTGTGGGGTGTGAGCAACCGGATTGTGTGCCCGTGTGGGGTGTGAGCAATCCTGAAACATTGTGTGCCCATGTGTATGTGATGTTAGGCTAAAGTGCTGGAATGAGTTGGGACTTAATCGGGTGAATCCAAGAGTTTTGGAGTGGAAGAACAGTAGGGAAATTCTGAGTTCGCAGACACTCGCTAGCAGGTTCGCTAGGCGAGATGGTCGCGAATGATCGCTAAGCGAGCAGTAGCGAATGGGTAGCGAACGGTCCCAGACTTGGACAGAATGCATGTTGTGGTGTTCGCTGGTAGCGAATGGGGGTAGCGAAGGTTCGCTAGGGGTTCGCTGAGCGAGCGAGGTAGCGAACAAAGTCAGAGGCTTCTGTTTTCCTTCGCGAGCTTGTTCGCTAGGCGAACAAGTAGCGAATACTCGCTAGGAGCTTGCTAAGCGAGAGGGTAGCGAACGTGACAAGTTGTGTTTTCTTTAATGTTTCCATCCGTGGTCGGATTTCCGACTTAACTTTGATTATTTCCTTGCTCGAGGCATCGATCATGCCGAGTTATATTGTGTTGTGGGTAGTCGTATGGCGTAAATCCTAGATTGTGTGATGTGGCCGTTTGGCAATTTCATGCATTTGTTTGGATTAAATGGGAATGCATGGTGATATTAACGTGAATGCGTATATTTGTATATACTTGTATAACATGAAGAATGCATGAATATGTTTGTAAACATGTGTGAATTCTAAGAGTGTATTGAGTCGTGTTGCATGTGTAGCATCATGATTGCATTCTTGTGTGTCTGATCCCGTGTAGGATCTGCAGAAACCTCGTGTGCCCTTGTGGGGTGTGAGCGATGGTTTAGTTACTTTGATCCCTAGGAGGATCTGCAGAAATGATCGTGTGCCCTTGTGGGGTGTGAGCGGTGGTTTATTTTTGATTCCATGCAGAATCTGCAGAACAGTTGTGTGCCCTTGTGGGGTGTGAGCAACCGGATTGTGTGCCCGTGTGGGGTGTGAGCAATCCTGAAACATCGTGTGCCCATGTGGGGTGTGAGTGATGGGTGAACATCATAGGCCTGACGGGGAGTTACTTCGGTAACGAGCGATGGTTCCATTTTGGTTCTTCAATTGAACCTGCTGAACGAGTCGGTACCACATTTGCATCTGCATAGAGTCGTGAGTCAGTCTCTATGAGTTGCATTATCATCTTTATATGATGTTTTGGTGAAATGAACGTAATTGTAAATGTTTAAGCAAAATGCTATGAATTGTGAAGCATGAATTGGTGATTGTGATTGATTATGTACGTGT